TTTGTCAAACACCCAAAAATCTATCGGATTTATGAAATACCACTAACAGCTTTCAGAAGTGATCCGAAACACCTCCAATTTCAAGAAACAATCATCTTCTTGGTATTTTTAATTGTATTTGATACTTTGGTTAATTAGGTATTTATTTACCATATTTTCTTATTTATATTGTCTCAATAGCTTAGTGTTTTGTACCAGCCATTTTGTTATTTTGCTTTTAGTACACAGCTGTTGCCTGACCTTTTCTAAGATACAGTGCAGAACCTTAAAAATTTGGACCCTCTTTTGTTCTAAAAGAAGTAAAAAGGACAGGAAGAAATAGACTGTAGTTAAATTCTTGCTTTATTCCTTTGCCCTGGTTATGAATAGTGTCAATAAAAGCAAAGCAGGAGACATCATAGAGGGTACTATTTAGAATTGTTTTTTTCTATTCATCCCCAAAGTATCCTGTGCGATAATTATATTGAATATATATGGAAATTTTTAAGCCACCAAATATGTTTTTGCTGGCTGAAGTATGTAGTGTATATGAATTCAATGACATAAGTATGTTAAAACTATTGAAAATGTGTTAAATGTTCTACAACTTAGTCTCAATAACCTTGATTTTTTTTTAAGCCATAAATAATGATTAATGTTCTTTACTTCTGCATTGCAATTTTTCTCTAAAGAGTTTCCACACAGTGGTAAATATGAAGACTCTGCAGAAGTATTTAGACTATTTTAAACAAAATAATTCATTCTGCCTTTTCATAATTATATTGGTTATCCTATCTTTATTCTTATCAATCTCTTGCACTGCGATCATGTGTTGTATTCAGATCGTAAAGATTTTTAATTACAAATTACATTCCAGGATTTAAACAAATGAGTTTAAATCTGTTCAGTCTCCAAGGTGTATTTTGCAGGATTATAGGTGAATGGAAAATGGCTTCAGGGGGACCCAGCAGTAGCCCCCAGTTCCTACAGGGAGGGCAAAAAGAAGAGGGAGCCAAGCTCTTCATGATGGTCCTTGATTGGAGAACACAAGGCAACCGACATAAGTTGAAGAAAGAGAAAATCAGAATGGGTATAAGTAGAAAATATTTTACAGCATAGACAGCCAAGTATCAGAGCAGGTTGTTCAGAGGGGTTGTGCTGTCTCCATTATTGGAGGTTTCCAAGACCAGATTAGATAAAGACTTGAGCAACCCTGGTCTACCTTCATATCTGACCCTGCTTTGAGCAAAAAGATGGAGTGGAGACCTTAAGAGGTCCCTTCCAACTCTAATCATGCAAGAATCAGTGTATTTTTATCCATATTTAGTAGTCTGTAATGTGACTTTTCACAGATTGCATACGTTTTATGGATTTCTATTTTTTAAACAACCCTTAAACATTGCAGTGCATTTTATCTCTGCACATGTTAAGGTAGGTATAGCATAATTACCATACTGATGTATATGACCTTGACATAAGTAGGAAGTCCTAATCCATTAAATTCACCTAATACGGTGATGGTGACACACTTTCACAGAATGCCAATTACTTTATCTGATTGATTCTTGAGTTTTCTACCATGGCTTCTTGTAGACTGCCAATGCAAATGCCACATCTTAGTCCTTACTTCAAAGTGTTGAATATTGTGTGAATATTGTGTGGTCACTGCGATATAAAAAGACATGAAGCTATTAGAGGGTGTCCAAAGGAGGACCACAAGGAAGGTCAAGGGCCTTGAGGGGAAGCCATATGAGAAGTGCTGAGGTCACTTGGTCTGTTCAGCCTGGAGGAGACTGAGGGGAGACCTCATTGCAGTCTACAACTTCCATTCATCTCCGCGGTGACCCAAGGGAATGGCCTGAAGTTGCATCAGGGGAGTTCAGGTTGGATATTAGAAAGAGGTTCTTCACCCAGAGGGTGGTTGGGCACTGGAACAGGATCCCCAGGGAAGTGATCCAAGCCTGACAGAGTTCAAGAAGCCTTTGGATGATCCACTCAGGTACATGATGTGACTCTTGGGGATGGTCCTGTGCAGGGTTAAATGTTGGACTTAATGATCCTTGTGGATCCCTTCTGACTCAGGACACTCTGCGATTCTGTGAAAGAAAGATAAGGAACAGTGTTTTCTACAAGATATGAAGTCTCAGACCTATAGCAGCAAATGGGAAATTCTATACTGGGGATAGAAGGTCTTCAATGGCTTTTTGAATGAATGAACTTTTCTGAGAATGAGGAGTTACTGTAAGTTCTACTACCTTTAGCTCAAAGTACAGTGCATACTTCAGCATTCTCTCTCTAGTTTGATGGGACAGTAAATAACACTGTGTAGAAGGTTTAAAAAAACCCCAACAAAACAAAAAAAAAAAATACCCAAAAGCTTCTTAAGAATGCAAACACTTTTCTCTCCAGGGTGAGTATGAGCGAATGAGAGGGTATATGAACTATGGTAATATCCTTATTGTACAAGAGAAGCATATTCAAATAGTTGAGTGACTAGTGAAAGATAAAATCCTGTGTAAAAATGATAGTAAAAATATTCATAGTGCTTTGTTTATGTTTACATATTCACCCATAACCATAATATATATTCTGCAGGTATGCAGTCTGAAAAATACATTAAAGCAAAACCATGTCAGGTGCAAAGGTGAAACCCAGTGTGCAATCATGAGATGAAATGGTATAGCTGCCCTAAATTTTTATTTTAACCTTTATTTTTATTTTAATTTTTTATCATCTATGCTGTATTTTTAGGGCACATCTTAAGGTAGTTTTCCCATTGCTACTATTCTATCAGTGTTTATAATAATATTTGTATATAATATTGTAATTAGTAATTTTGTGTTAATACTGTTTGTATTCAGTGAGGGAAATACACAGAGCAATACACAGGTGTTCTTTATTTCCTTTTACTGTGATGTGGAAGAGTAGTCTGTAAACGTGCAACATTGATGATGGCACAGAATTATAGCAGGGAGTCTAAATTGCCATTGTTTTTATTTACCTTGAAATGAGCTATTAAGGGAAGATACTTTAAGAAATAAATTAAACATGGTATTGCATAACTCTAGCTGAAGTACTGAGCATAATTCAGAGCTTTGACCTAAAAAGTTGTTTCATACCTATCCTTGGAACTATCTAAAGCAGAAAGAAAAGAGTTAATTCATATTGAGGGTAGGACTACTTGAGAAGCAGTTGAAATAGCAAAGAATGATTGTCATGTGAACAATAATTTTTCCCAACAGTAATTTCCTCTTGCAACTCTGCTAAACTGTTGTAGTAATATTTTCCTTTATAAAGTAACTTGTGTGGCATTTTTAATTTTAAGATAATAATTTTTTTGGTATGTATATCCTTGGTTTTAGCTATTACTGTAAGCTAAAATGCTGTGGTTCTACTTCTACAATACCCATATTTTAAAATTTTATTAGACACTGACAAAATTAAATGAAGAAGACTAACCAAGACTGACTGACTAGCCAGCTAACCAAAGTGAAAAGTCTGTTTGCCACCACAAAACCTGAGAAGGGGAAACAAACAAATGTTGCCTGTAGAATTTAATCTGCTATCAGTATTGCTCCTGCAGCTGCTCTTCCTTTATTGCCCAAGGAGGCATCCTATCCTGAAGGATAGGATCATTCTCCACACTAGCATTGGCCTGCTCAAGGACCAAATATATCCTGCCATGTAAATGTTGCATCAGAAGCATGTTTTCATAGAAAGCAGGAGAAGGGGAAAAGTGGAGGTGCTCTGGTCAATACAATTCCATTCCACCTGACAGACTGCAGAATTCACAGAGCAGAGATGGGAAATCAGGCTTCTATTAGGGAATAGAGTGCTTTGCTTCCTTGGAATATTTAAGATCTTCGGAGGTGCCAGAGAATAAGCTTATGAAACCTGAAACTGTGCTCCGTTTCATAGGATTTTCTTTATTCTGCTTTCTTTCCTTTTGCTACCGTAGTCAGCAGACCTCTTTTTCTAAGGAAAAAGAAGGTATCTCAGAAAAATACTGATGGTATGAATGCTTAAAAGGACATCTCTGTTCCATAAGTTTACATTGGAAATTTTATCGTGGAAGTGCAGTGGAACAGGAATCAAACATGAGAGCAGTTGCAAAGTAGGTTTTTGGATTTTTTTGGGTTATGTTGTTTTTTTCTTGTGAAAATGTAAGTTTCTGTGACTGAGGATCCTATTATAAAAAAAACAGGAGTGTGAGAAAGAAAACAGGAGTGTAAGAAAACAATTCACAGATATTCAGAACATTCAACTTCCTAATATCCTACTGTTGCAAATGATATTGTATATTACCCATAGCCAAAGAAACAAAAATAAAAGGGATTGCACAGTGGCATCACAAGATTCTGCATCACACTCAGGATATCTTCCTTCTGTATTTTCAACTTCATTCTAAGTGAGTCTTTTAAAGGACTCATATTATTTTACTTGCGTCGTTTCTGCACCTTTTATAGGTGGATGTCATGAGGTACGGTGATGTTTCAGATAAAAATAAAGCAAACTTATCAGAACTGAGTGACAGAGAGACTAGTAAGTGCTGTTAAGGTACAAAACAGAAGTAAGGCACAGAAGAAAGCTTGCCTTTCCTTATTCTTTCTGCTTCCTTCTGCATGCCTCTTCAGTGTGCTGGGGCAAGAAAGCAGTGATAATGACTGGGTGAGATAGTACTTCCAGTCAATTTAATTTATTGATTCTTTAGAAGAAAAGAAGTTCCTGTATCATTCTGTAACAGGCTGTCAGAACAGTGACAATTCTGTTGATCATAGCTAGCATCTTTTAAGAATACCTTGAATAATAATAAAAAAACCCATTCATGTGTCCCTTATTAGGTATTTTGAATAATAAGTTGTTCTTGAACAAGATCCGGATTTGTGAGACTGCCAAAATTGCATTGTGCATTATTCTGCTGAATCTTTATATGTTATTTTCCGAAGTTTTAACTAAATTTGCTATGTGGTTTGTAGAGATATGTATGAAAACATTTATCTTTGTTTGTGTTTTAATTACAGGTGCTGTTCTTATGTGGGTCGAAGGGGAAATGGTCCTCAGGCTATATCTATTGGCAAGAACTGTGATAAATTTGGCATAGTTGTCCATGAATTGGGTCATGTGATAGGTTTTTGGCACGAACATACACGACCAGACCGTGATGACCATGTTACCATCATTAGAGAAAACATCCAGCCTGGTGAGATATTATGATAAGCATTTTGGAAAAAGAAAATTGTCTGCTTATTTTTTGGTGTTTCCTTAATCCACTCAACTCTATTAAACCTGAGTGCTGAATAGAAATGAGCCTTTTTGCCTTCTACTCCTCTTAGCTTGACTGATCTCAAGTTGATTCACAAATAAGATACTACAGTTAAAATATAAGATTTTCCAAGGTCTGGCCAAGTAGCAAGCCGTTAAATAGAAGGCTAGAAGGAGCAAATTAATAATCATGCTCAAAAACTTTGAAGGAAATCACTGCTCTTAAGGCCCTTTAAAAGTCAGGTTTCTGTGCTTAAGAAAGGGCATTTCTTGTGTAGTCTTTACAGAGTGATAAGTAAAAATACGTCAATTACTTTTAGCTGCCCAAGAGGCTTAGATTTGGGATGTAAGGACTTTGAGTCTGTGACAGACAGGCACAGTTCCTGCAGTTCACACATTACTCACCTCACTCTCTAAAGCTTGCAGCTTTAGTCAGTGACCTTGGTGTTGTTGAGACAAAGCATCTGAGGAACCTGAGAATTTTAAACTGTGACTGTCATCTCTTTCACTCTGCTTGTTGTACCCTCACTTGTGTTGGGTAGGCAAAATGAGAGGGAATTAGGCATGTTTTATTTGCAATTTTCATAAATGTGTATGGTTTTTGAGAAACACTGATTTTGACTTACAGAAATTCTCTGCTCAAAAAGGGGTGAAATTGTACAATTATAGCTTGGAGTATTTGTCTATTCCTATAGAAAATATTTTAAAACAAAATAGATTTGTGATGCAAGGGAATATATGAATTAATTTGAGATGCCACTTCATCTAGGACTTCAAAGAAAACTGTAAGCTGATGCACACTCCCATAAATCTCTGAAGTCCTGAAAGGGCATGCACATTTGAGCCTTCTTTCTCTTCTCTCTGTGTTATTGACTTGTGTAGATGCCATAAGTGCTCTTCCCCTTTTCTTTTTCTGTGATAGCAAAAATCAGCTGGAGTGCCATCCTCAGCCTCCTGCTCTCCCTTTCAGTTGTCTCTCTAGTTTCTGACTGAAATCACTTCTTGTGGTGTTGCTTGAGCTTGAGGATCACTAAATGGGATCAGGAAGTCATGACCACCGAGACAGTTGGTTTTTTTTATATTATGCAAAATATATTGGTTAATAATGTTAATGTCACTCCAGTTTGTTTTTACAAGACTCCAATAGGGATATGAACTGGAGTTAGAGGTGCTTTGTACTCTAATACACTGATGAAGACAAAGAACTTATGCTCTGTAATTATGAACTAAGTATAATTCTTTTGTTCCTCTTCTGCTTTTGTTAAATTACGAAAACTGGCTCTCGAAAATTTGACTTTGTGTCTTGTCTGTATTATATGGAGGCTCAGAGAGCAGCCTTTGCTGAAGCAGTCTCCAGTATTCAGTAGTTTACTACTGGATTTAGTTAGACTCTTAGTATCCAGTCTAATGAGTCTACAATGAGGAGGGTTCTTCTGGAGTCTTTGCTGTCAAAACAATTTTATTTTGGAATTAAGAATCAAATCAGCATTTTGTATAGATTCTACATGAAGCACAAAACGGTGTGTGGGCCCTTTATGTGCTGGTTGAATGAGATTAGTCTTTCTAAATGCCAAATATAGGAATTTGATGTGTATTTCAGAAGACGTCTGCCCTCTCGGTTAAGAGGGCATAATAAAGTCACACAGTTACTCCCAAATGTCAAACGTTTATGAATGTCAGTGAGTAATTAGGTTAGGATCTTTGCTGTTTTTCTTTTCCTGTTTGGTTTTTATCTTTACAGAAGATATTAAAGAATCTCTAATTATCAATCATTTGTAGGTCAGGAATATAACTTTTTGAAGATGGAACCTGGAGAGGTGAACTCCCTTGGGGAACCATATGACTTTGACAGCATTATGCACTATGCCAGGAACACCTTCTCAAGGTTGGAGTCTCAGGTTATACCTTTTGACTTTTAATTCTATTCCTCTCTGTGAATGCTAAGAACTATCCTTTCTGAAGTATTTTGAAATCACTTAAAAGGTCCCTTGTGATATAGTATTCCTACAGCAGTCAAAGGACAGCTTGTTTATTTTGTCAAAATAATTTAATTATATTTTAAAACACATTTCTTTTCTGTTCAGTTTCAAAGCAACCTATTCATCCTACTTCAGTTCTTTAGATTTTCAGACAAGATAATCTGAAAACATCACTTTACATAATACTCACTTTCTTTCTGTGTCCACAAAAATTTGAATTTAGAGAGATCAAATGAGTGACATGGTTAGGAATGTTCATAGTAACATGATCTGTTCTCAAAAAGAGAAATTTTATTTGATACATATTGTTTCGTAACTGTGGATTATGCAGTTAGAATACATTATGGTATTCAGACATCTACTACACAAGCCACAGCCTTTGCTAAGGACTGCAGTCCACCATTTCTAACAGAGGCTGCAGCCTCTTTCCTGTTGTTTGTACAGATTGATACTGTCATCAAAAACTTACAATAAAGAGTTCTGCTTGTTTTACTTTGTCCTGTTCCAGGCTGATCTGTTCTCAACTCCACAGTAACTCACGTGGGGCTCTCCCTGAAATGCTGTAGGGTTGTGGGGAGCTGTACAATGAGCTGTTCCCGTAGGCCAGCCCTACTCGAGAATAAGTGAGGAAGTCTTTCACTCAGTCCCTTATTATATTTCATACCAAGTTACAGTTTAGTTAATTATTCTCTAAAAATATCAGATTAACATAAAATTAAAAGAAACCTCCAGTAACACACAACAAAAATGCTAGTGTGAAAAGTTATGTGCAAGGTGGTTTTTCAATTCATGCATTTTAAGGCAAAAAATACTCGACATTCTTGACACTTTGAAATAAACTGAAGACTGCCAGAAAACTCCCAATTCTTTGCAAATTTGTTAGGCTTGTTCTCCTCAGTATAAATCATATTGAAAAAAAAAATCCAACGAAAGGCTGTATTACTCAGCATACACATAATTCACCCCTTGGAAGAGTATGGGGATGAGCCATATGAGATAAATATTAGCCACATTGCTTAATCCAGTTACACATACCATTACCTTAAGGAATAGATTAGAAGAACCTATATAAAATAGAGTAATTTAACAAGACGGAACCCCCCGAGTCCTCAGGCAATGAAAACATCAAGGTAATTTGATTTGTTGGCCCTGATCTCACCACTTTCCAAGCTGGCAAAAACTGATAGTGCCATGAGTAGGCATGTCCTTCCCCAAGGTACAAGAGGTTGTTACTTCATACTGTTTAAAAGCAGCCAGCAAACCCTTGAGGTCAGATATTGATTTATACTAATTCATCATTGAAGCATGAGTCAGGCACAGTGTGGCATATTGCCAGCTGTTTGTTAGGCATTGCTCACATGGATAAGTGGTAGAAATCACAAAACATCATAAAGTACACAATGATTTTGTTTATGTACTGTTACTTTATTCAAATGCTAAGGCATTTAAGAGAGGATTGTTTTCATAGTTTTACAAAGTATGAAGAACATCAGTTTCAGGTTGTACTGAAATTTAGTGGAAAACAAAATCATAATTTATAGATGCAAACACTTTCTAATGTGCCTTATTTCTAGAAACTGATTAATGCCATAAATAGTTTATTTCACTGATTAGGGAAACATCCTGAGATGATTTTTTTCTTTGCAAAATTTCTAGTGATGTCACACAAAATCTGACTGGATAAAGAGAGTAGTATGTGACTGCAATACTCAAAATGCTTCATTTATTATAATTTAAAAATATGTATGTATTTATAAATGGTATTCTTAACTACAAAGGTCCTTACTGTTCACTCATTTTTGGACCTGTTTTATGTCTAAAAGTACTGGTTTCACTTTTCAATAAAAGTCCGACAAGTATAAAAGAGAGTATAAAAGAATTAAAGAATAAGAGAACATAGAAACATATTCTTCTATTAAATTCTATTGTATGGAATTTGAGGGCTTTTCAAATTCTGTAGCATGATAATAGAATGTAGTTTTGTCCCTTACTCTTCTAATATTTATTAGAACTACCAAAATATTTCAGATCATGTTTAAAAACTGGGAAATTTTGAATAAAACTGCACATTTTTAACAAGTGTGCTTCTTTATAATGCCTTGTCATTTAGGGTTATTGTTATTAAAATCACATATAGTAAGTTGATATATTTTATTGTAAAGCAGATAGAGGCTGGTGAGTGAGCATTTCTGTTTCAAAAGCAGCAGCAGCAGCAGCTAGAGTTAGATCTGTTATAACACTGGACAGAAGAATGATTGGCAAGTGTGCCTGACTTTACGTGCTCTTACATATGTAAGTTAGACTTTAAGACTTCCCATAAAAACTTTGTTAGAAGTAGGAACTTTGTGATTAAGAATTTTGTGATAGAGACTAATTTATGTATCTTTATATAATTTTATAATTATTTTATTCAGTATCGGAAGAACTTAACAGCAGTGTCTTTTGCCTGTGTAGTTTTAATAGTAGTTAGAGATTTTCCTCCTCTTGTCTAGCAGAAACATAAAAACTGATATGTTAACTGATGTACTGAAAGAATATTCTTTTTTGGTAACTTTGCATAAAGTTCACCAACCTGAAGAATTTTATGACATGTTTTCTATATTTAAAGTTCTGCATTTTACCCTCTTATTTATGCCAAATGTAAAAACTAGATTTAAAAAGCAGCATTATGCATTCATGAAACTCAGTTTTATGACAAAAATCTGATAGGGGGTTTTGGGGTCTATTTTTATTTTTATTTTTTTTAGGGGCATGTTTCTGGATACCATTCTCCCTTCCCGTGATGATAATGGTATACGACCTGCCATTGGCCAGCGTACTCGTCTAAGTAAAGGAGATATTGCACAGGCAAGAAAGCTGTATAGATGTCCAGGTATTGCACCACAAACAAACAAAACCCACATACTAGCAACTGTTTGACTTGTTGTTCAAGGGGAATGATAAATTTTTTGAGTCAGCTGCTCAGTAATCTGTTTCCATTTTGGCAACGGATGTAGGCTGATCAAGAATCAAGTCATAAAAAAATCTTATAGATAAGGTTTCTTGACTTGAAAGCACCTAAGGACAGACAAACTGTATGAAACAACACTTTGTTCCATGGCACTTCAATTGGTTTTCCTTAGCTGTTCAATAACTAGAAAAAAAAAAGGAAATATGTTTAATATCACTTCTGGTTTGTATACTGACTGGAGTCCTTTATTTGAATTTAAGTAGAGTGCAGAGGAGCAAAATTAATTATTGCAATCAGCTCTAAACACTTTATATTTTTTTAAAATTTGACAAATAACAAGCTAGGACAAGTAAGTTGTAAACTCTTTTATGAATGAACTGGTTAGATCTTAGTACAAAATTTCTACAGTTTTAACAGATACATTTAGTTATTTTATTATCTTCTGCCTAATTCTAGCGTCCTATAATTTTAATGCATATTAATTTTTTTTCTCAAAATATTGTTATGGTAGGGTTACTGTCTGTCTCAGAGACATCAGCAGCAAGCCTGGAGTAGCCCAGAATCAACCCTGGATTCATGTTGTTCTCTAGTCCTTATTCTTCACTAAGTACTGCCAGAGTGGTGGAAATCTCAAAGCATAAGGTTTTAATTTCCTTTCTCTGGTTATGGCTAATACAACTGTTAAGCTTTTGTGTCAACCAAAGAAGTTCACAAGTGCCACCTCTCAGCCAGAATTTGCCAGCAAGATCCTTGTGAGAGGCTAGACATACCAGCTGTGTCACATAGGTTTTACAACTCTACTGCTCCTCATGGGAATTAATGAACTTTCAGTAACAGTTTTGAGTTAGATATATGGCTACTTTTAACTGACTGATCAATACAGAAGGACTAAAGAAAGGGATCAGGACTAAAGTAAAGTAAATTTGTATCAGCAGCAATGGAATCTACTGAAGATCTGGGGATTCTGATTCTGATGTGCATTTGATGTACACTTTACAGCTGAAATACACCTTTGTGCTGTAAGTATGCTGAACCATAGTCTTCTATATACTGAGAACATGCACAGAACTTCTGGGCCTACTAGAGGAGAAACCATTCTAATATATTGTCTTCAACAACTGCTCCTTTGGGAACAATTTTTGCTCTTTCCTTTTGGTACAGGGAGTGTTTTAATTATAATGACACTCTTGGCGGTATTATTTCTAATGAAAGTGTACAGAGAGCAACAATTTCACAAACACAGAGAATACATATATTTTGATAAAAGAAAAATTTTGGAGAAAAAAGTAGTCTATAGAAGTAAAACCACTGTGAGAGCAGCTAGTATCTTATGATCATATTGACTTAAGAAAGAAAAAAACCAGTTACTACAGCCTAGGCTGTTTAGTGCATATATAATACTCTAACATGGACTTTCAGTCAACTGTAAAAGACGCAATGTGCTTTCTGAGCTAATGCTCAAATGGTTCTTCAGAAAAAAATATGCTTTTCATAAGGTAATGAAAACATGTACTGATATTTTTCAATGTCTTGAAAGTCTTGTTGAAAGTTAGTTTCACAGAATTGTAAAACCATGGTTGTGCAGCAGCAGCGTACACTTTAAAAGAAAGCTATTTTTTGAAGCACCGGTGAACATGGGTCAAATGGATAATAAAAATGAATGATGGTTGAAGGATCATGCTCCTTTTCTGGCACTTAGCTTTGGCAAACTTTGGGATAAAAGACGTTGGTTTTCCACCCTTACTTAGATGAGCCATGCCATAAAAGAAAGTGAGTTTTAAGAGAGAAAAAAAGGCAGAAGGTTTTTCTACAAATGTTAAATAGCATACTATTTAAAATGCTACTTTTTCAGTTAATATTTTTAATAGAAACTGCATAGCTGAATAACACAACACAAACTTAAACATCTAATAGAGAAAGCAAGTCTATGAAAGTTGCATAGTACTTGTGTTCTAATAAATTTTCCAGCAAATACTGAGACTAAAAATTCAGACAGACATAAAGCTTTTGGTTTTATGTAAAAAATCATGTGATCATTGTAGTATATAGCAATAAAATCCCTGACACTGTGTTGCTTTTGGAGGTATGTTTTATTTCCTATTTCAGACAAAAGATAATAATCATTCATTAATAATATCTGCATTGTTTAATGTGTTCATTTGTGTTGCTTTAAATGTGATACAATGAAAATACAGAAAACGATAACTTAATCAGTATTTTTCAGATGCACACTTCTTATGATAAAGGATTTTGTGGTATTGTGCATGTTTTGTTTGGAGTTCTAATTATTCCCGCAAATAGTTTCTGGTCCAAGGCGTTTTCTAGGGCCCATGAACATGAAGTTGAGCTCAGGGCTGCTGGTAAATAGAAATGATCCTCACAGCAGTGAGGCACCTGAGCCTTCCAGGGTCTTTTAACTAGTCAAGATATTCAGGGTCATTATTAAGGAAAGGGTTTAGTGACCAAGAAGTTTTGAGACTGGGGAAGCCAAGGCATGAGATTTGATAACTGGCCTTTTAGCAGATAAGTGCCAGGACTCAAAAAACTAGTAACAACAATTTTGGTTTGTTTTTAACTTTTTCTTAGGATTTTTGTCAAAGGAAAGCATAGTTGCTAATAGGGATCTGTTACATTTTCATACCAAATTGTATTGTTACACAATGGAATAATAAGGAGAAAGAAATAAGTAATTTGAGAGTCATTCCTTTAAAAATCTTATTTTGAATTTTGAGTGTCTTGGTATTGGAGGACAGAACTTGGATTTCAAGGCTGGATGTATTACAGTGGAGTCTAATGGAGTGAAAGAATGTGTTTTCTTCTGGTGTAGCTGCGAAAATTTCAACACAGGTCTGCCTTTGTAATTTTATATAGAAATTGTAGTTGATTTAAAATTCATATGTAGTTTTATAGGAGCAGGAGAATAAGAAAGGCAAATGATGGACAAGGATACTCTTACGCAGAAAAAGAGGACAAAAAGTGAGTAGAGTGGGACTGAGTAACATATGGGAAAGAAGTCTCACACTGGTGGGAGAAGGCTGTTTAGAGGAAGAGAAGGTGGATGGATGAAGTTCAGCAAATTTACAAATTGCCTGGGTCTGTGACAGTGTGTGCAGAAGAAAGCAGATGAAGGATACCTAGCCTGTCTCTTTTTTTGTGCTGTTCTCACTGTTCCTCAGTCTTAACTTGCTGCCAGCTCTCTTGACTTTCAAAAGTCATCTTTTATTGCTGTATAAGGAAGATTAAGGTTTTTAGGTTAAGACCATTTCCCTATAACTTTAAAGGGAATCTAGTCAATAGTAAGACACTGAGTTGTAGTAAACTGATTTAAGTTTTTGATTTAACAAGACCACGATCAGCAGTAGATATTTTTAGGGCTCTGTGGCAGCTTTATATGCCATATATATAGTCTGTATAGTTGTACAGACTTGTGTCTAAGTAGAAAGTGTTGAAGATCTTACTTATCTTTGGAAAAAGGTAAGCTTAATTAGCCATATATGATACTATGTATTTGGTAGCATTATGTACAAAGGAATGAGAATTTGTTCCCTAAGTGTCCTGGAGAATCTGGGCTTCGTCATTTACAGATTTCACTGTAATCCGTGATGGAACTTTACTGTGTGTGTAGGCCAGCCCAGAGAGGTGTTATACACAGGCTGTGTGATTAAACACTGCTGCAGACTTCACTGGTGCAAATTACTTTGTATAAGCATGTAATCTACCTTCTCCTCTTTACAAGGAGAAGTAAAAATACTTTCCTTTTCCTTACCACAGAAACTCTTATCAGAAATCTAACTCTCTCAAGCTGTAAAATAGAGAGAAGATCAGCTTTTTTGGTTAGTCTGTGTGTGGGAAGAATTAAAGTGGCATTTCTGCAAGTGGTCTAGCCTAATAAAATTGATATAAGGCATGACATTTGAAAGGGGGGAAAAAGCATCAGAGAAAGGATTGGCAATGGTAATGATTAAAAAAGGAATAAAAAATGTACGAATGCTTTATAAAGCAGAGCTATATAAGATTGAAGTTGTAATTGATATCTTCTGATGTGAAATATACTAAGATTAGTTCTTAGGAAATTTAAATAAGTGGCCCTTACCACTCATTTTCCTTCCACATTTCTTTCCTAGAGTGGATTTTGTTACTAGTGGACTGTTACAGTAAAAAGTTTATAATATTCCATTTTATAAACTTAATAATGAATACTACAATTGCTACAGTCCAAATACAAAGCAAACCTTTATATTCTCTAGCGATAGAATTTTAACTGTTTCAATTACCATTGACCGATTGCAGAGAAATTTGCTTTTCTACAAGAAATTAAAAAATATTACCCTGTCTACAGAAGCTCTGCAAGCCAGACTGGAACTCAGATCCCATAGATAATTAATTCAACTATTGATTGGTATAAGCTATTCTTGTTATACTTCCCTTGAGTAATCAGAAATTTTAAATTAAAAAATAAATATGGCAAAACACATAAAGCTTGAGTGTATTTTATAAATTCTAATTGTGTTAATTCTCAGTAGAAGTTATGTATTCAAAATTTTTCTTATGCTTCTGTTAAATTTAGACATATTTCTGAAAATTTTGATTTGATAGAGACCTCCCAGGCATTTAATATGGATATAAGGTAAAATGTTGTATTAAATAGTTTTGTTCTATAAAACATGAGGGAAAAGAATGTTCCATAACTGCTTTTGCAACTTAAAAGCCACAGTTCTAAATTAAATACGTCTTCTGTATATGGAGCATGGAGTGTTTCTAATATTCTGGAGAAAACAATCCTGCACTCTGTATAAGAAAGAAGAATTCTGAAACATTTTTAAGATGTAAAGCTATTATGCTTAATTAATTCATGGGGTTTTTTTTATACAGAGTAGTTTGGAGACTTCAATAAAGTAAGAGGTCTTTCTCCTGTCTTCTTAGTAATTGCAGGGATGCATTTGAATAGATGTCTCACATGCTTGATAGCATTTTGTTTGGTTACATACTTCGTGTTACCTGGGTGTGTGCATTGCGTGACTTCATGGTCAATATTTGAGAGTTGAAGTTACAGTTAATTGAAAAAATTTCAATGTGAGCAGAAAAGAGCAGACAAGTAGCATTCCCTGTCGCTCAATGTGTCATCTGCTCAAGGCTTGCTTAGTAGTGTTGGTGAAATAGATAAAGCCAGAGCACAGAGAAATTGTACTAAAGCTTGAAATATGATTGTATGCCTTGTGAGAGTACGTTGATGCAGTCTTCATGAAGCACGGGGGGGAAGAACAAAGAGGGCTCCGGAAGGGGTGAGGCTCTCTTTTAGTCCTCTATGAGACAACGATTTTATTCATGGCTTCCTCCAAAGTGCTCTACGTATGCGCTGTAAGCTATGACATAATTCACTAGCACTGGGGAAACCCAGTACAGGGCTCTGCAGTTCATTTAATTTTGCATTCATCACTGTGTTAAAAATAAATTGTAGTTAATTACAAATATTACCTTTTTACTGAAAAGGCTTTGTTCAGAAATGTCATTTGCTGTGGCTGCCTGGAAAAGAATATTTTTTTTCCTATTTCATTCCTAAAGGACTGAGTAATGGTGGGTTTAGTCATTATATTTTTGGAGGGCTGTGCCAGTCTTCCCTTTCTTTCCTCATCACGATAACCATTTGAGCGTCAGAGAGCATATTTAATGCCTTGAATGTAATTTACGCCTGATATTACAGTGTAGTTGTCAGATTACATCTTAGATGCATTTTAATAAGACAGCCTTTACAGCTGTGTTGTCTATCTTTGTCATGAAAAAATCCCTCCCTTTGTCTCCTTTTATTTAAAGATTTTCCAGATCATTTATAATTCATTGATATTTTGATGATACAGTTGTTCACCTGCTGGTAATGGTAGCACTGTCATTTGAAAGCACTGCAGATCTGATTATGCTGTCAGTCATGGGATAATATTCTTGAATTCATATCTTGTATCACATCTGCAAAATTAGTGGGTGAAACAATTTGCTTAAGGTCAAAAAAGATGACTGACTGAGGTGTGACACTGTACCAAAATCTGTTTTAATGGTGGAGAATGGCAGGACCTTCCGATGTTATATTTTAGTGTGAAGAGACTTTATTAACCAGTTCAACAGCAGCTAGCAGCATGATTGACAGGTGAGAGATGGGTGCTAAAAGCTTCAACAATAAAGGATATAAAAGCGCTTTGGTATTTTAGGATTTTATATTTGCTTTGCTTTTAATACTCATATATCTACAAATCACTCCTGCAAGAGACTTTGTTGAGTACAGGATTTAGTTTTCTATACCAATATAAATGAGTGAGTTTAGGTCAGATCAGTCTCTCATGTGAGTAAAGTACTAAATTAAATGAAACCACTGAGAAAATTTCAATGTGGTGCCAATCATGCTGTGCCAGTGTTTCTTTTAGTTCCTAAAGGAAGTGTCTGTGTCCACCTTTTTTTTTATTACCAAAGTAGTTATAGGTACAATGTTGCAGCATTGTTGATTGACAGCAATGATATTTTTGAGGCTGCTGTAATTTTGGTTATATCATCAGACAACACACAAGTGAAATAGTTCATGGAATAAAAATATCCTGTGTAAAATGGAATGAATGTCAGACTGGCTTAAAATCATTGCTTTGAATAAATTGTCAACTAACTGGTTTGTTTTCCATTCTGCATCTGCAGTGAATTAAATATATTCTAAGTAGATATTGGAAAGACGCTTTTTTCTCTGTTAGGCACGTTATATTTCATTTTCTTTACTGTAATTTGTTTCTTTCAGCCTGTGGAGAAACACTGCAAGAATCTACAGGCAACTTTTCTTCTCCTGGATTTCCAAATGGTTATCCTTCCTACACACACTGCATATGGAGAATCTCTGTGACCCCAGGAGAGAAGGTATTTTAACATTTCTTTAGTTAACACAGATACTATTTTCAGAGTAAAATGTTACACTTCTTTAGCTTTTCATTAAGTTTAAAATATGAATAATAATTGAAAATAATGGTATGTCATAAAAAACAGGACCATCGACTACGTCCTATTGACTTGACTTTGATCTGTGGCGTTAGAACCACATCATCTATTGGATGGATGTCCTTGTGAGATGAAGATATGATTTCAATCTGCTATATGTTTGCATGATGAAATCCCTTCAAAACTGGCTCCTACTTCAGTTCGTAGTTTGGTGTAAAATGGAAGAGGTGGTTCAGGCTACTGAATGTTTGTTTTTCCAGCATGGGCTCAGGCAAACTGGTTGAGCTGTGTGGGGCTGATAGCTGGGCTATAACTAAGGAAGCTTAGTGTGTTAAATAAGACGTTTCTAAAATGACCGGTAATAACATGAAGTAAAGAAAGTGTCATTGTAGGTGTTCCCTAGTATTGATTCTAGTGCATATGGTTCTACTTTCTGGGATCAGTTTTACAGGAAAAAAGGTGGGGAAAAAAATGGTCTTGGGGAGAGAAGTGTGCCGTCCTAGTGAAAGCAAAAGCTGTTATTCTTGTGTACACTTTCAAAATGTGCTAGCTGAATCCTGTTTTAAATTACCAGCTCAAATATCAGGCTGCTTCAAAATAAATTAGGATAAAGGGAGTGATGAAAAGTTTCAACTGAGACAAGTTATGCAGGAAAAAAAAAGGTGTAAGTTTCATTACATGAAACAGTGGTTGATATTAAGCAGTCAAATACTATAGACTAAAATATAGACTCTAAAGAACAAATACAGAACCTAACATGAGACTCAGTACTGAAAATTCCAAAGAGGAAACCTAGCATTTGCCCCCATATATTTCAGTCAGTTTTTTCAGTGGTCTTCCACTATGTATATATCAGACACAGTTTTCTCCTGATCGTATTACTTTATTCCACGTTGCTTTCAGGTCAGCATCCTGGTAGATGCCAAGTATATATATTCTTGATGTTTTAATAGATCCTGAGGAGCTGTAGGAGCATTTGCCACTGTGGGGTTTGAAAGTAAAATTATTTGGAAAGTGTTTGCCGTCCTCTGGGCAAGAGCCAGAGACAGGAGGAAAAATAGACACTGTGCTGGGAGGGCGTGGGTGGCTCTACAGGTTGTCAGGGAAAAACAAATGAAAACAGATGAATAAGCTACAGGTTGCACAAAGGATGCAAATTAATCTACATAGGTCGTTTTATGTTCCCACTATTTGTGTTGCTTCTTAGACATTGTTGGGATAACAATGAAAATGGCTTAGGTTTCTTTTCCATCCCTCCATCAAAAAAAAAAAAAATGTTCATCTACAATCATTTGCTTTTGAAAACAATATTAATGTATGAGTTATTGTTCATGCTTAAGTATTCATAGCATACTCCAATTTTGTGTCAGCCTATCTGTGGACACTAGTGTAATTGTAATACATTTGTGTTACCATTATGTTTGCAACCACCACTGGAGCACTATTATATTGTAAAAAAGCTTAACAGGGGAAAGCCCCTGTCTTGAAGTCAGCAGTATAAAAGGGCTGATTCCCTTTCCATCTTACTTGCTGCTCCAAATGGGGAAAACACTAAGCAGAATTTTCTAACTGAAAATTGACATGACAAGTTGTGTGCATAGGGCACTGTTATGGTCTCCAGCTCTCATAATCTGCATATAGTTCAGCAAGAACGAAGTCAATGATATTTATGCTAGAAAGTCTGTTTTGTCCATGCTATTCCCATAGGATATTGGCTGTCTTGAGATAAAGGACCCAACTTGCAGCCATGATGTCTAAATCTTAGCTAATGCATATGTCACGGTACTTTGGATATGCATTATACTTGATGTCAATTTTTCTCAGTAGATGGTGATAACACATTCACATAATGAAGGGAAAATCAAAATGTATTTAAATTTTTCTTGCTTTGCTGCTTTGACCCTGTTAAATCTCAGGAACGTTGTGTGGAAGTTAGAGTACATATAAGTACATCACATCATGTTATGAAATGTCAGTGAGCACTTTAGTCACCTAAAAATAAACTGAAAAAGCGTTGTCTAGCTCTTGTCTCTTATTTATTGAGATTTAGCACAGATGTTTGAGCATAGTTCAGAGGGCTTTTATGCATGCTTCTTTCTGCAAGTAAGGACTCTTCTGGTCTTTCATGGCCAGAAATTTAATGAAGGATAGAACTGCGGTGGTATGCATTAGCTGCAGAATTCCTTCTACTCATAAGACATCGTAAATTGCCAGCCCAACCTAAAATGTGTGCGTTCCCATG